GCCACCGGAACTGGGGCCTCCAGCCACGCCAGGGCGCGGGCAGCAGTAGCGGTGGGAGACTGCACAGCCCCCTCCCCCAGGGGGGTGCGACTGTGTGCTGGCTGCCTCCAGGCGGGTTCCGGCGATCCTGGGATGCCTGCCGGAGAGGCCCTGCTGTCCACGGTGATGCCCCGTCCATCCTAGCTGGCCAGCATGGATCCGGTGGGGGTGCGGTGGGGGCTGGGCCGTGGCTTTGCGCTGGCAGCAGTGTCCCGGGCTGTGTGTCCTGGCTCCTTGATTGAACCTGAAGCCTGGACCCAGAGCCGTCTGCTCAGCTCCCTCTGGACCCTGAGATTCACGGCCAGGCCGCCAGCAATCCAGGCCCTGGCATGTGGCCTGAGAAAGGGGTGGTGGTGGTGGTGGTGGTGGTGTGTGTATGTGTGTGTGTTAGTGTTACTGGCCGTGGCCTCGGGGTCTTCTGGACCCCACATTCTTAGAGGGGTGACAGCCAGTATGCTGGGGTCAGTGCTTGCTGGGGACCAGCCGGAGGGTTCCCTCCTGCAGGTGTGAGGCTGTGGGGGTGAGGCAGGGGAGCCAGGCGTTAGCTGGCTGTTGGCACCAGCAGGCACCTGGGCTGGGGGAGTGAGTGTGTTTGGGCACGTGTGTACATCGCTTGGTGGGCTAGACCTGGGAGGCTCAACACGTGTGTGGGGGACCCCTGTGACGACTGTGTGCCCCAGTGGTAGCCCCTGGCAGAGGAAGGGCATCCTCCGATGGGCTCTGGGCCTTGCGGCCACGCCCCTCATGGGGCCCCAGTCACCAGCTGCTGTAGGAACCGCCGTGCCTGGCTTCAGGAGTTCCCCTCCAACCAGGTGTCAGCCAGACCCTCCACTCTGAGGTCCCCACTCCCGTAACCGCCTGTGAGCATTCGAGGGGAGCCCAGACGGTCTGTGGAGGGCTAGTGTGTGGGGAGAAGAGCCAGCAGTGGGGTGGGGGGTACAGCCTAGTGAGATGGGGGCCTGGGGCTGGCAGAGGTGGCAGAGGGTGCTTGGGCGTGGCCAGGAGGCAGGGTCCAGTGCTGCCCAGGTGAGGGTGGTGGCAAGGTGGCCCCAGTGGAAGGCTGTCTCTGCGAGGCCACAGCCGCGGCACTGACGCCCACTGAGGAGCTTGGGCATAGTACCGGACTCCTGGGCAGCATGGTCTGGCCATGCGGCAGTCGCCTGGTGGCTTTTTAAAGGGCAGAGGTGGGCGCAGGTGGTGTTGAGGAGTGAATCGGAGTGGGTGGGCACCGGAGGGCAGGGCCTGATTGGGCGTGGGGCTCTGCTCCACCGTGCCCCTTACGGGCCTAGGCAGGGGTGAGGCAGCCTCTGTCTTGGCACGGCTGGAGGTCAGCTATGGGTCAATACCTGGTTAGTCGTGTTTCCCTGCACCTGGGACCTGCCCCTCCCAGGCTCTGGTGGTGTGGCTCGTAGGGACAGTGAAGGGAACCGGGAGACAGGCTGCAGGGGTGGAGTGGTGGTGAGGGCTTCAGAGTAGGCGCGGGGCTTGACGGGAGCCGCAGAGCCCGGAGCATCTGCCCCAGGTGGGCAGTTGGCCTGCGGGCTGCAGCTGTGGAGAGTTGGGGCCGGCCGGCCCGTGGAGGCCCCGAGCTGCGGTGTGCGCATGGGCGCAGTGGCCCTGAGCCTGGTAGAGAAGGCCCAGTGTAAAGTGGTGTGGGGGGCACCTCCGCCGTGCCCGTGAGCCTGGAGCTGTGGCTGTTCGTGCAGAGTGCAGGACCTGCAGCGGAGCAGGTGTGGGCACTGAGCACCATAGTAGAGTGGTGGGGGCACCAAGTGTGGGTGCCACGGTGTGGTGGGGGGGATGAGGGT